CAAAGTCACTGTCCTCTGGGAAATTTCTGTTTTTGTTTCTTATACAGTCAGAATGGGATTATGAAATGTATGCTGGCTCTGCTAAGCTTATTTATGTCTCGTTTAAGTTGAGTCAGAATCAGCACAGACTGATTTCAGCTTAACTTACAATGACAAAAAAGTCTAGATCATCACTTATGATTTCATACTTGCTTCATTTTCAACAGCTTCAGTATGAGGTTGTTGCTGCCCACTTTAACTGAGCTTCTGCCTTAGCTCTGTTAAATATTCATCTACATCAGATGCTTGACTTACAGGTGGCTGACTTTGTCCATCTCTGTTGAATTAAACTTGAAGTGAATCAAATTAAGTAGCTGTCTGATGTTCTGTTAATATGAAAAACAAATGATTCATCAGAAGATTCATGCTGCAAGAATTTTTTTTTTTCCAGTGTGCATACACTACCGTTCAAATGTTTGGGGTCAGTGAAATTTTTCTTGAAATAAATTAATGCTTTTATTCAGCAAGGGGGCATTCAATTGATCAAAAGGAACAGTAAAGACACAGTAAAGACAATGAGGCTTTCATTTTGAACTCTGTATTCATCAAAGAATCCTGATATTTTCATTTATTTAGTTAGTTTTTTATTTATATATTTATTTTTTGAGCGAATCAACATACAGATATTCAAATCAACATTCCACCAGCTGCTGTTACTCCACCATCAAGATCTTCCATTCAGTTGATATAAACCAAGTTTGCCAACAAATATGTGGACTAATTGCAGAATGTTGGTTTTGGTTATTTTGCCAACACCATCCTAATGACAACCACTTTGTGCAGCTGAGATTAAATTAATATGTTGTTCCATCACTCATTACAATATGTTACATTGGCCTTAGTACAGGGTTTTTCCATAATCTCCCTAACTACAAATTGATCTTTTCCGTTGGGGGAACACCTTGGTCTCTGGAATGAATAAGAAATGCCCATATTCCTTTATTGGATCAGATACAATAGATGTCAGAACATGCATCCCTTTCCATTTTTATGATGGTTATCTTTTTGAAAGATGGGTACAATAAACACCAGGTGGAATTTCCCCTACTACACACACACACAAACGCTTGTTCATGCACGTGCTTGTTCACACATACACACATTTACATGTTTGACTTGCGAAAGATTCAGTTGCAAACTTTTTTTGAATTAGCATCAAAGACAGACCTTTTCATATTCATGAATCAACACACTAATTCTGCATTACATTTGCTGTGGTATTAGGAAAGATGTTTGTTGGGCAAATTTCTGCTTTTCCTCTCTGTACTCCCAAATTGCAATTCATCAATAAAATCTGCTGATAAGTCAAAAAGGATTAATTTCACAATTGTAATGGGGGCTCACTTGCATTTTGGCTTTTATGTGGACAAGCTGTTCTTTTACTGCCGAATGTTATACCTCTTAATGGCCCAGGAGTACAAATATGACATTTACTGGAATGAATGACTTTATGTTTAGTTGTTATTACACAATACTGCGTTGAAGCTTCTATCCGACCCAGCCCTGTGTGCAGGTGCTGGAAAATTCCACAAAGATTATTCATATGTATTTGCAGTGAAGGCAAAGGCAGTTTTGGTGTAAAAGAGAAAATCATGGTAAGTAAAAAAATTCCAGCATTGAGTGAGCATCAAATACGTTACGAAATCCTTATGCCTCAGCATCAGCAGAAAGATTAAGTGTTTGGTTAATTGCTCTTAGACTTTTAGTTGTAGTAGGTCTTCAGGTAGGAGACAAGCCAGGATCAATTCAAATTAACTGACTTGCATTTCCTGATTGCAGACAGAGAGTAAAAACCAGGATATGTACGTCATTGATGACATCTTCAGCTGTCTACACAACCCGCTATTAATCACAATACAGGACTAGTGCCGAGCTCTCTTAACGTTATCTTTGAATGATTTGTAAAGTTTAATTTCTTTAATGCAGTGAGTACCCCACTAAAAATGCTGAATGGAAAGCAGTGAGTCACTGAGTGCAATAGCAAAACCAGAGCAGATATATGATAAAATAATAATTGACTGCACAAATTCTGTCGCAAATACTTAAAAGCCACCACAAACCTGCATGCCTTCTTTTTTACACAAATATTTCTCGCATTATATATTTACATTGGAAAAGACATGCATCATAATATTGAATTTAATACAAGAAGTCACCCTTGTTGACACCCTTATGGGCAATTAACAAATTATATTAATCTACTATATCTCACATATAAGAGGGCGCAAAATAATTATATAAGTAATTTATAATAATTTTACTAAAATATATTGACTATATATGACTAATCAAAGAAATAACCAGGTATTTTAATGGAATATTTTTCATCACATATTTTGGATATTCCATAGGTTTACAATTTGTTTAACTGTGATCAAATCTGCAGTTCATGTTAATTTTTTGGCAGCAACCCAGAGATAAAATAGATATAGAACACTATGGCGTCAGAAAAATAATGACTTATATTTCAAAATCGTATTTTGCTGATCATTTCGCAAGGGATGGAGTCAGACAGAGAGAGAACTCTATTTAGAATATGCCATTAAGATTTACTAATAATGTAATGTAAAATGCTGCAAAGCGACAGGGCATTCAATGTGAACTTATATATATATATTTTATGTGCATGTATCCTCAGCAAATATTGACGCTGTTAACTCATTAAAACACTATTTCAACTTTAGATGTTTCGTTCATGCGGCCCTTTATTTGTTGTTGTTGTTGTTCGTAATAGATAATGAACAATGAATGCAGCTTTCTTTCTGTACAGTAAAGCCAATCGGTTACTTTGTATGAGTTCTATAGCAGGGAAAATAAATGTTTTTTCAAAATGGAAAATGATGAAACCATTGAAATGAAATATTAAATTGTTTTGGACAAGTAACAAGTTATACCATCATTTAGACAGGAAGTATATGCTAAACCGTATATGCACCCCATACATGTTTGTAGTTCATTGCTTTGCCTCCTGAGTTTTATTAGCAAGACTGCATCTATTTTAAGTGATAAGAGACAAGGTACTTCAGAGCATCACTGTAAAACCTTCCTAAGCAAAGGGCTTAAAGTGATTTAGACATCCTGCTGAATAAGAATGGCTGAAAGTAACTTTGAGGTAAGAACCTGCCGAATGAGGGGCTCTATAGTGGCTCACCCTAGGTTTCCCGCTGGTCCTTTAGCACCAGTGCCCATTGATATTCAGCAGTATTGGCGTCACATGTTTGCAAGGAGTCCCGCTGCAGCTGTGAGAACCAGAACACTGAGAACAGGAGCAGACAATGTAGGAAGTGCATTCAGTCATTTTCCAGGCTCCCTCTGCTGCTGACATTCAATAAGGAAAAGCAGTAAGAGGACTCTGGCTGGAAATGCTTTGATACTCTAGTTCTAGGTGTCACATACTGTATGAAATCAGAGCTGTCTGTGCTGTATATGCTTTTTATTATTCATCAGTGCTACAGTATATCCTCTCTAAATTCATCGGTGTACTTATATGAGGGTCATTTCACAAAATGAGTGCTTTAAGATTTTAAAACATTTGATTTATTCTGTCAAAGAATGTCTTTGAATGTTAAGTGCTGTGCTTTTTTAAGAGAGTTGAAGACGGTATTGTTCATTTATCCATTATTAACCTTGTCTTTGAGGTCACAACAAGGTGTTTATTAGAAAGAGAAAATATAACATTAAGTAATCATAATAAAAAAGAAACATACTTGTGCTTTAGAGTTCATCCTGAAAGGATGATGCCATTTATGAGTGTATTTATTTATTTATAGAATTGTAGATCATATACCAAAAGCATTGGAAAATAAGTACAAAACGTAATCTGCGGACTGGTCAAAAAGCATCCTTGTGGGGAAAGAAAACGCTTTTTTCTTTCTTTTTTTCTACTTCTTTTTCTTTGTAATGGACGAGTTTTTGTTCCTTTTCATCGTTAAAGGCACACACAAAAAGCATCATTTTCTTGAAATCTTGATCATCTTGTCTACTGTTCCTTCTCGTTCTCCCCATCAGCAGTCTGCGTTTGTCTTTCTGTCAGTCTGCCTCCCCAGCCAGCGCTGCGCACGTTAGGTCGTTGTGGACAAAGGAAAGAACAATACAAATATTCAACTAGCCTTACCATATATATATTTTTTTCTTGTGTTTTTTTTAATGAGAGTTCATTGTGTAGCCACTAGAGGGTTCTCAACGCAGCGGTGCACAACATAAAAACACCGTCCCGGTTCAGATACGCACTGAGAAACAAAACAGCAAGCAGGTTACATGCGACTCCTGTCAGAACGAACCCGGCTATTCGCACTAAGTAATATGCTTTCGGCCAAATAAAAAAAAAAAACCAATGTGACGTAACGAACGAGAGTTGCCCGAAACATGTAGCATTTGACAAATCATGTCTTTTTCTTTCCACTCGGACTGTTCGATTGAGACCGGCGGGGATATTACGTGTTATTTCAACTTTAACGCACGCGAATCCCTCTGAAGAAATAGACGCCGGTCTCGCCACTGACCTCGTTCAAACACTCATACATGTACGCCTAGAGTTATGTGATGTGTTTGAGGGACGCGTTTTTGCCAAGTTTATTTGAAATGCGGATGAAGAAAAAGTGAAAGGGAAATGATTTTGACCTCTCCACACACTGATTGATTACTAAGTCATCCCTGCAGTTTAATTGGGATCCATTCAATTGGGAAGGTGGAGCACTTGGCTGAATTAACATATTCCTTTCCCCCCTCAATCTGTGTTGAAGTGTCTTTGAAAGGGGCAAGGAAAGGGGGTCGTGGCTTAACATTATAAAGGCAAAAATAAGACAGCATTGCCGTCTTGGTTGGTGTTGAATACGCGTCTTGACAGGCTTTTGTAAAAGCAAAAGACCGGGAAAGATCTCCAAAGACGAGCGCTATTTAGTATTTTGAAATCATCAAATCCCCTATCCATTGACAAAAAAATATCTTCTCTCCACTTGAAAATGAAACTTTTGCCCATTTGCACTTGGCTCCTTTGCCTTTTGCTTTTTCTCGTGTGCTTGGGATCTGAGTGTGGGACTCCACGGCGAATTGCAAGGTCTAAAAGAGACTTGGTACGCATCAGGGAAGCCAGAAGTACCTTCCCAGGACCTTGTGCCACACGCCTGCCTCGGGGCAAACGCTCACTTCCCGGGATAGATCGGCGCACCCCTCGCCTGTCACAGGCGGGGGAAAGCAGCCCAGGTCGGCGGAGGGCTGTTTACTTTACCGGTCGAGGAGACCAACTGCGTCTGAAACCCAATGCAGAGGTGCCAAGGGGTAATTTCACCCTGGAAATGTGGATAAAACCTGAGGGTGGGCAGCGCTCTCCAGCTGTTATCGGAGGTTTGATTTGCTTAATTATGACTTGCATTATATTCACTGCAGAAATCATTTCACAGTGTAGCCTAACTGCAGCATGCCCGTGCTTCATAAATCACCTCCAGTGTGAGATTAGTTGCATAAACACTTGCCTCTAACACTTCTTTTTATCACTTTCACTATTTATGAGCCAATGCGAGCATGTGCCGAGAATAGTTAACGAATATCTCTCCGAGGACGGCATATAGAGATGCGCTTTTGCTCTTGTTGTTTGCTAGCAAAAACTCTCTTGGGTTTTGCATGCGGTTGGCAGGTTATCGCCACCCAACTTTTGGTAGCATCTTGTAGTTTTAACGTTACCAATTTAAATTGCCTTTCTAGTTATTAATATTTGAACGATTCGTTGTGATGTGGAGTAAAGCAACTGTAATACCCCAATGTCGTATTTGTTGGTTTGCTGTTTAAGTCATGGCGTTTAAAGAATTTGATTTGTTTATTGATTTATTATTATTAATATTATTTACACCTTTAAACTGCATTTTAAAGTGTCTGCGTGAAAAAAAAAATCATGATAGCGGCATATAGATTTGCCTGTATGATGCTGTATGATTAAGTGTCTGTGTCAGAAATCGCTTAAACAAATACGTCATCCCTTTGATGCATAGGCTACTGTGTTAATTACGTGCTCTGCTCTGCACTAAATACTACATATACACCCTCTATACCAAACTGAACACTACAGCTGGCGCCTATTTTACTTCAGTCTTTATGTATGGCTATTTATAATTATATTTTAAAATGTGCTTTGAAAGTATGCATGTACCACTAACGAAGCGCTTGTAGTTTATAATCGGATAACAAAATCCGTACGTTTTTTTCCCTTGAAAAATCTCTATTTATGCCCATTACGCATTATTCTGATGGGGATGGAGTAGCATAGGTGGGCGTGCTAGTTGCTCGGTTGTGTTTTTTTTTTCCTTCAAATAAATCTATGAGATTTCTTTTTTCCCCTCATCCCTTTTCCAGCCAACAGAGAGCGTAATACCCGTGGAGTCGGTTTATGAATCCTGCGTGCACCCCGTGAACCCCTATAGCACGCAGTTTTTCTAACATGGATGTCATTAGAAATCTACAATAGAACCACATGCTTAGTTTTTATTTTCACAAATATTAGACAAAAAGTCTTACATAGATTAAATGTGAAAAGTTAACTTTATGTCTGAGTTAAAAAATTATATAAATAATAAAATACTGAAAATAATTAGTGAGACATGCACATGCAATTTAGTGATAGATTTCAGGATGCATGATTTAAATAGCAAATCGTAGACTCAGGACATTGGAAATTAATGTAATTATGTACTGTTGGGTACACTGTCTTTAAACAAGCTTTATATCTCCAGAGAGCTGCATGATAATGGATTGATTGAATACATCTTGTCAGTGAGTCATCTAAAATTAGTCCACTCTCCTCTGTTCTCAAAATGATCTCCTTATAGTCACAGTAACATTAAGAAGCAACGAGGGGGCGCTGGCAGAGTTTATATAGCTTCTCCAACTGCGCATCTAATAGTGTTGTTCAGCAAATTTAGTTTTAAACAAAGCATTAAATATTTGCGGTCCATGGAAGTTGTTGCCCTCGTATATCTGCTGTCAGGTTTTAACCCACAAATATACGCTGTTTTGGAATCAGGATTCTTCAAGTATAGGATTATGAGAAGGAAATGCTATAAATGTCAGTCCAGATGGAGGAAGCTATAAAATTAGTGCCTTGTCCATCCTTTCTTCAAGTGGTTTTGTTGTTGCTTCTTCTTGTAAAGATATTACAGTCCTTGCCACAAAACATAATGGAATGAACTCCTGCTTTCAGTCAATCAGATCCTCAGTCGCAAGAGCGCACTAAGAGGCGCTGAGCCTGTTCTCAGACAGATGACATTTTTACTAGAAGTTTTACAGCATGTCTGCTGACGTTACGTGGCAGCTTTTCATTTGACATTGCACACAGTCTGATTTTAAATGTAAATTCGTACATTTTGCTTATTCTTTCATTGTTGTCATTGAGGTCTCTGTGAAGTACGCAGTGGAATGGGATATTTTATGGCACATTACAATAACTTAATATGCACCTCATGAAACTGTCAATAGCACCACTTAGAGGTTTGTAATGATGGCTATAAAAATGTAAATATTAAATTATCATGTTACTAAATAGGTTGATTTATGTTTGGTTAGTGTAGTTGTTAACAGATATTTCATGTTTCTACAATGGTAATTCATGCTTCATGAGAGGTTTAAGAAGATTTGATAGTTAATATATTAATAAACGTATATTAATAGATGTAATAAAATATAATAATAAATACAAATGTATTATATATAAAATTTAAATATATATAAATTCATAATAAGTTTGTATGGTAAAACTTTAGAATAAAGTTTAATTAGTTAATGTTAGTTGATGCTAAAAATGACTTTTATGCATTTGTTACAGTATTTATTCATCTTTCTTAATGTTACTTAATAATAATACAACTACTTGTTACTTCATGTTAGCTGAGGCCCATATTAACAGATACAACTTTTGATTTTAATAATGTATTAGTCAATGTTAGAATTAACATGAACTATGATTAATAAATGTTTTAGAGCTATTTTTCATTGTTAGTTCTTGCAGTTAAATAAGGTTTAACTAATGATAAAAAATGGAACCTTATTGTAAAGTGTTACCTATTGTACTGATAAATAACATTTTGTCTTAATCATACTGCATGAGTGAAAATATAATAATTATTTTTTTTATTTAAACAAAAAAGTCTGAACTTTAAAATATGTTGACCCCCATATCTAACATAAAATGAGTCTAACAACTAAGTTTAAAAGTAGCTAGTGTTAAAAAAATTCAATATAGCCTTACAGATGTTTTAATAAAAGTATATAGACACTACAGGTGTATATCATTTTTTCCAAACAGCTGCTGCACTTGTCTTTCATTTCGTAATGCTCACTTTGTAGTGCTCTGTCCATGGTGCTGGATACTGAGATTGAATGAACTCAAAATGGATGGTTTCATGAAATATTGGAAAGGATTACAATGTATGCTATATTCGGCACGAGGAGCCAGCTGCATTAATTTCCAAAATTGCATTTTAACTTCAGCATGTACTTAGTTAAATGACTGGATTGATTTCATAAAGTAAGTTAATTTGCAAAGCAAGCAGCAAGCAGCATTTGTATTTGCGTGCGAGACTTTTTCTCCACACTGTTTATCATACATTCATTTTTAATGCATTGTCCTAGTTAAAGCTGTGTACAGTATTTATTATGCACTGATGGTTTTAATGAAATCTCATTTGTGATCAGTGTAAAATTAGTATTTTCTAGTGTTGTCATCCATTCATTGAACCCCCATCCCTTTCCCTACACTGAGCCCCTTGCATGTCTAAAGTTCGGAGCTGGCAAGAAATGTACCTGTTTGTTATTTCCCACTTAGCGGTCTCATTCCAGGATTTCACAGATTGTAATTTCCTCAGTTTTATGGCACAATTTATTTTTATAGATGCTGGCAGTGGTGCTGCTGGCAGCCCAGAAGTGAGAGGGAACTACATGCTCCTGTCTGCTCTTTAGTAAGGCGCTCCCGAATGAATGATCTCTTTAAAGTGGTCAATCCTAGCGGTCAGAAGATCCTCATGCATTCAGCTTCACTAAATGGATTTAAGCAGCTCAGTCCAAATGTGTTTCCCTGTTGCAGAGGCATGTGTAAATTTGGAGTTATGTTACACGGTTTAAGTAGTAATGTAGCATAGTAATATTTTCCTCTGCTACCCTGGTAACTCTTTACTGCTTATTTGCCCTAACTGAATTTCACTAATTACCTCTAACAAACACACTTCTCTCCGCTGTGGAAGACGAGAGAGTTCCTCTCACAGATCACAGATCCTCACTTTCTGTCTTTGACTTTAGGTTTCATTGCTCAGCAATTTACTGGATTATGTAGCACTGCTGTATGGATTTGTAGGGCTTGTTTGATTAATTCTTTAAAATGAAATGTAAGAATTAAAAAATTTAGAATTTGCCCTGTATCTGATTTCTGCAGTATTGAAATACAATCAGCTTTTACACACTCTGGACTATTATGAAGGACATGTACCCATTAAATGTAAGAATACGTTTCCTTCTGTAGCTCAGCACATGGTTTCCAAATGAAACAGTAAGAAAGGGTTTCAGAGCCCCTATCATAATACGGACTGTGCCGAAAAAGGACCATTTTTGATTTCAAACATCCCTACTGCTGTGGCACATTTCAAGAAAATAGACTGAAAATTCAAGTAACCTTTGCTCTGTTGATACAAGACCACACTGTCTGGGCCTGATTGCTAGCAGATGCTTCCTCGTAGGCCTGTAGTCCTCGGACTGGACTGTTGCAATGATTTGATCATGGGAACCACGTTGTGTTCCCCACTTTTCTGGATAAACACATACAGTTTTTCGTCACTCTCTGCATCAGGCTGCAGAAACTTACGTCTGTGGTATTGCGTCAGTCAGTTTGCTGAACTACTACTGTGCGCCTTTCATTATACTTTTGGATAAATCAGTATCTGCTAATTGTGTCTAACATTTATGGAGCAGAAAACCTAATTACTGATGAAAGATACAGTGGAGTCTAAAAGAGCTTTAGAAATTTAAGTCTAAACAGAAAGTTTTAATATTTAGGGAAATTGAAACAAAAATTAAGATGTATAATTTTTAAACAATTATAAAATATTTTTTGAAAGAAATTGATACTTTTATGCAGCAAGAATGCATTAAAGCGATTATATGTGACAGTAAATAGTTTTATATTGTTACAGACATTTTTTTAATTTAAAATAAATTCTATCAGAACCCTAAAAATGTATCACAGGTATTTCTGCAAAAATATTAAGCAGTTGTTTTCAACATTAAAATAATAAGAAATGTTTCTTGAGCATCAAATCAGCCTATTAGAATGATTTCTGACACTGAAGACTAAAACATTCAGCTTTGCCATCACAGTAATAGATACATTAAAACAGAAAACATCTATTTTAAATGGTAATAATATTTCACAAATATTACTGTTTTACTGTCTTTTGGATCAAATAAATTCAGCCTTAGTGCACATAAGAGACTTCTTTCCACTAACTTTTGAATGGTAAACCTTGAAATAAATGTTTTAAGATTTTGAAAAAATATAACGTGACTCTGTACAGACGTCTGTTCTTGCTTCTATTGAAGCTCAAGATGTTTTTTTGGATCATCTCAAATCATGATCATCAGGTTTTACACAAACTTGTGAAGTTCATGCAGCTTGAATACTTCTGTCATTAAACCAACAACAACAAATTCTGAAATTCATGTTATTTTTTTTTTATTGTTTTGCTGATAATAGAATTTATGAAAAAAAGCATAAAAATGTACATCTGTACCATGATTCTCTGCTTGTTCTTGTATCTAACACCTGTCATCTTCCTGCAGGTCTCTTTGATAAATGCTTCTACGCATCCAGTGATAGAGGGTGGTTACTTGGCATCAAAGCAGTCAGCGACCAAGCCAACCGTGACCCTCGCTTCTTCTTCTCCCTCAAAACGGACCGAGCCCACAAGCTCACCACGATCACCTCCAATGCACCCTACACTCCCAATCAATGGTCACACGTGGCAGTCACCTACAACGGTCTCTTTATGAAGCTGTACATAAACGGGGCGCAGGTTGCTGTAAGCCGAGACCAATCTGGTGAGATTTTCAGCCCACTTACCAAGAAGTGCAAGGTGCTAATGATCGGTGGCAACGCCTTAAATCACAACTACAGGGGTACGATGGAACACTTGAGCTTGTGGCATCGGGCTCTGAGCCAGCGTGAGATCATTAGATCCATGGGTCACAGTTTGGGTCAGTTTGGTGACCTCTCTCAGCTAGTCATTCATGAGAACTTTGAGAACATGTCAAGACGGTGGCTGACGGTGAAAGATGGGAGCTTCCCCCGGTTGGAGGACTCAGACAGGAACTTGGCGGCTATCCTCAGTGATGCTGCACTGAAACCTCCACCTTGCGGACAGACTGTATGCGACAATGTGGAGGTAATTACAAACTATTACCAGCTCTGGAGCTTCCGCAAACCCAAGACGGTGCGCTATCGAGTGATAAACGTTTACGACGATGACGGACGGTGGCCGACGATTACAGACCACCAGATCAACCTTCAGCACCAGCACTTGAACAACGCTTTCCGCGTCTACAACATTTCCTGGGAGCGCACCGTTCACAACGTCTACAACTCGTCCTTACGTAACCGCCTAATACTGGCCAACTGTGATATCAGCAAAGTAGGCGATGAAGAGTGCGATCCAGAATGTAACCACATGCTTACTGGCTTCGATGCCGGATACTGTAAGAGGCAGAGCACACACTGCCCCGAATACAAGCAGGGGAACGGGGTTTGTGACCCAGAGTGTAACTGGGATAATTTCTATTACGATCATGGGGACTGCTGCAACCCCAACATCACTGATGTCACCAAGACCTGCTTTAATCCTGCGTCACCCCACAGGTAATTCTGTAATTCTGCTATTTCAAACCTATTCAGTGACACACAGAATGTTGCATACTGATTAATTAGTTAAATTATTCATTAGACCCGCAAATAGCAGACTATATCCAGTATGGCTTAACCCTGTAAAGCCTGACATGAAATAATAGTAAAAAATAAATAAATAAATAATGAAAGTCATTTTTTTAGATTTTTAGAAAATGGAGCTCATATTCGAGGAGAAAACAACACCTCAATTTTATTTTGAGGCCCAAACTGAGTAAAAATATGTATTTTGGTACGATTGCTGATATTTATATGGCCAAAAAATCTTATGAAATTCTGATAGTGCCTAATATCAATCAATCTTTATGACAATGTAGCAAAGTACTTGGATAAAATTCATATTAGTTTTTTTTTTTTTAGTTAGCTTAGAGCTTTATTAATCCCCTTGGGGCAATTTGTTCAGGCTGTCGTGGTGCTTCACATATACAATCAACATTTAAACACATACAAATACTCAAAATACACAAAATACATAAAAAAATATAGAAGGAAAAAAAAATCAACTACATTTATTACATAACCGTATTGCTTGTATAACATCTGATTGCCCTTAAACGTCGCCCAAGGGGCATCCACTCAAAATAATCATTCAAAGGGTGTGTGCTGTCTCCTGTTATTTTATGTGCCATCCTCATCACTTGCTGTTCATAATAAAGAAAAATAAAGGAAAAGGACAGGATAGTTTCAAGTTCAACAAATTAATTATAAAAAGACCAGAGAATAACTCTCTGTACACTGATAGAGTCAAGCTTCCTCAGCACAAACAATCTTTGGTGTGACTTTTTAATCACTATTGTCACTATTGATATATTAATATCAATTGTCACTCTATATCTCCCAATAATATGTCTTAGTAAGTTGATATTTAAATGCTTAGTTTATGCTGTAGTTTTAATTGTATTGCAGTGATGATTGAAATATAAAGCAAATATAAATAAAACAAATACAAAGATAATGCAAATAAACATTCCTCAAAAGCATGTAGTATCATATTTGCCACTTAATAATTTTTTTTTCTAAAAATGATGAATGGATAAGTTGCTTCAGTCCAGCAAGTGTTCATCTTGAAATATTGCTAACAATATAAAAGTTATTCTTATGTTTACTTTATGAAAATCATTAAAGATTTCACAGCAAAAAGACATGAACCACGACCTGAAGGGGACATTTTTAGAATTATACTAAAATACCTTTTACTTGATAAAAAAAGTAAACATTAAAGGGGTCATATGATGCGATTTAAATTTTTCCTTTCACTTTGAAGTGTTACAAGCTCTTGGTGCAAAAAGAATATCTGTAAAGTTGCAAAGACTGAAGTCTCAAATCCAAAGAGATATTCTTTATAAAAGTTAAGAGTCAACCACTCCTACCTAAAACGGCTGGTTCTAACATGCCCCCACATGTCTACGTCACGATGTGGGAAGATTTGCATAACGCCGCCCAAATGTTCACGCAAAGAAAGAAGGCGTAACTTTTATTCTCGCTGTAGTATTGTTGCTGCCGCCATGTCTAGAGCTGATCCGTGCTGGTCACTGAGGGAATACATCAACTACGCGCTGTGGATCGCCGGATCGGCTTTCACCGTGGACGAAGCGGAGTCCAGCCCGGGGTCGTCACATGTGGTTGCCGCAAGCCCACCGGATGCTCCTTCGTCGAATCCGCCGCCTCTGCTCACTACATTTAAACTGCAGTTACAGATGCTTAAATAGGCCTAATGTTTTGTTTTTCACATAAAACGTTGAATACTGATATTTGAAATAATTTAAAACATGAAAAAATAGTCGAAATGTGAAATTAAAACCGCCAGTAGGTGACAGCAAGTGACTGTCCATGAGTGAGTCATTGAGATTCAACCGATTAATTCAAATGACTGATTCATTCAGAAACAAAGCTGTGTTAATGAGTGAATCACTGAATCATTTATTCAAACGATTCATTCAAAAAGCTGATTCATTCAATAAGTAAACACCGTCCATTGCTCAGAGACGCAAAACAGTGATGTGACCTTTGTTTGGAACAAAACAAGCAAAAACAAGCAATATTATGTCTAAAATGTAAGTCACTTATTGCTTTACTGAACTTCTTTAAGATGATTATTAAATGTGTTGATGCTGAAAAACGGTACTCTTGTTGCATTTCTCAACTGGAATGTTATATCAGAATTATTAATAATGTTTTTGTCCTTCTTAGACGGTTTATCTATGCAGGTAAACAGACCTATACTCAAACTGCGATCGAACTGCATATCAGGCATTTATGTAATGCATCTAATTTGATCGGTATTACAAAACCGATATCCGATTATGGTAAAATGCTTAAATATCGGGAAAAATATCGGTAAATCGATATATCGGTCGATCTCTAGTACAGATACTCCCAAAAAATACTTAAGTACTGTAACGAAGTATTATTACTTCGTTACATTACACCACTGTGTGTTTGTAATAAAAAAAAACTGTATAACATTAAGCATTTTCACAGGTGGACCTTTGAAACCCACTGTATGTCTGCAGCAGATTCTTGAAAGCAAAACCGCCGATTATCATTTAGTGCAGTTTAGTTTATTTAATCAGAACAAACAAGGGTATTCAAGGACAACTAGGGATCTGTGCCAGATAAAAAAATAGAAGCATTTCAAGGTCCAAGATGAAAGTTTTATTCTCAGAAAACAGAAACTGAATATGGTTGAATGATTGCATATTCAATATCTGTAAATCAGAACAAATTAAATATAAAAGGCATCACTTACCTTTGAGAGGTTCTATAAATTAAAATATTGGTTCCAGGTTCATAAACTCATTGCATTGTGGTACTGCATGCTCGCAAATTGCACAATCATATTGCTTCCTGTCCGTCTGTGGTTACAGATCCTTAGTTCACTGTATTTGTTTTTTTAGCAGTTTGTCCTGTTGACGTTTGTGTGTGTTCGTGTGTGAGATGAGACTAGAGCATGTGGTCAAGCACAGAGCACTCCAAGTTGTTGCTTGTTTTGATTTGATTATGGTATGTCTGGAGAGCTTTGCCGAAGGCTGCATAACGAAGTGATTTGACATTCCTTTTTGATTGTACAAGAATGCATGAACAAAGAGTTGTGCAAGAACAGAACAATGAAATCAAATGCTGTGGTGAATTTGTTTTTGCCCAAGACTCAGGCAGATGTTGCAGTCAACTTTAACATCTGCAATTTTCAACAGACCTTGTTATTAATAAAATAAAATAAAAAAACATCTGCGTTTTATTTATTAGTTTTTTTTATATCTGTTTTCTTTCATTAATGTATGTGATATATTGAATTGGGTTTTAGTTAATAATAACTTAGTTGCCTTTATCTTAAAGCAAATAACTTAGATACAGGTTGCTATAATAAACTAGTGTTAGTTCTAGTCTCGCGTAGCCAGAGTTTCAGTACACTTCACCTGAAGCATGAACACACTAAAAAACCTCTCAAACAGCACCTGATTACTGGACTAATTTATCTTTTGCGTCTGATTGCGCTAATAGTTACTCACTTTCATGTTATACCAAACCTGTATTAATTTCTTTCTTGTACTGAACACAAAAGAAGATATTTTGATGAATGTGGGTTACCAGAGTTGCTGGTTCCCATTGTCTTTGATAGTAGGAAAAAAATCCTATGGAAGTCTCTGGGGACCAGCAACTGTTTGGATACCCACATTCTTCAATATAACTTTTATGTTCAAAATAAAAACTAATTCAGGTTTAAAACAACTTGAGAGTGAGTAAATGATATCAGACTTTTAATTTTTTTGGTGAACTAATATTAATAAAACAACAAAACACAAAGATAAAAAATCACTCACTGCTCTTGACTGAAGAACTTTAATACAGTTGCTTTAATAAGAATCAATGTATAATTTACACAGTGAAGTGTATATAGTGTTTTATTTTTATATTTGTTCATTCAATTTATTATACACCTAAATACACCTACTGTACCTGAAAAATAAAGTGTATTTGTAATTGTGATTTTTTTTGTTCTTTTTAATAACAAAGATAAAATAATGACACATTTTATCTTTGCCCACTTTGGCCTAAATATCTGCCATTCTTTATTTTATATTTTATATTTATATGACCCGGTGAGGCTTTGTTTTTAAAATAAGGAAATCAGTTGGCTATACTGCTTAGACAACTTGCAAAATAGTAAAACAATCGTGATAAAATAGTGAATCATGATTTTCCTTGATTTCCATTATTTTTTTAATATCAAATCATGATATGATATTTTTGCCATATCGCCCACACCTACTGACCACAAACTTTTGAACAGTACTGCATAGCAACTTTTTGCCAACTCAAAAATGGTTGGCATCAGTGTAACAACATCGACAAGTAATATGCACTTAAAGCTAATGCATTTAAATGATATGTTTGGGTCACCCCACGACTGCAGGGCTGGTGGGAGAAACGGTGGTAGAGCAAGACAGTATAAAAATGAGTCAAGTCTGTGTAACTGCATGAGTCAAAACCCGTACATCTGGCTCATTTTCCAGCACTTCAGACGAGCTCTCAGTGTCAAAAAGAGAGTGACATCATCACTTCTTTAAAAACTAGCTGTTCGGTTTCGGTTCAGACATTATGCAGATTTTATATAAACATGGTCGTCTCTACCTGAATTGACATGAATCTCAGGAATAAATTCAACTGAATTGCAGTATTTAGCTCAAGTGCAGTACTTTCACTGTTCACTGATGATTCAAAGGTCACAGCAGTGCAAGAGAGAAAAGAAAATGCATTGCATTCCTAACAGTGTATCTCGATCGCATACTTGATTGTCTCAGAATAGTCAAAGGTATGTTGTACCGCTGTGCGCTCTCTTTGCCTCCTGCTTTGTCCAGGACTCTCTTGAAGAGGGGATCCAACTCAAATAATAAGAGTATCTCTATAAGCCTTGTGTGAGACTTCACTCTGCAGCATAATCTAAGCCACTCGGC